TAATGTTGGGGGCTTGGGAAGTTCACTTCATACAGGAGGCTCCGTTCCACATACTGAGCACAGACGTCGTTTGGTAATGAATTTTAAATATTTTTTAAAATTGTTCTTTAATTTGTATTAATAAAATTCTCTTAATTCTAACAGAAAGAGACGCTTGGTAGAGAACCAACTCCTGTGGAATTGCATAGTCGCACTCATAAGCGACAGGAGGAATATACACGGCTTCGAGAGAGCTAGGAAAGCCCATGTAAGTATATATTTATATGTGTTTAATAATTTTTATTTTTAGTTTAATTATATATATTTATACTCTACTTTCACAGGAGGAATATACACGGTTTCGAGAGACTCATGTCGCAGCAGGTGAGGGCTCTTTTGGAGGCTCTATGGAGTTTTCTGAGCATCACATCTGGTCGCAGGCCATCGGAGGAATGCAGCATGGGAGAGTTTATGGTTTAGGTGCGCAAGCTCAGGCATATGAGGGGATGACCTCCTCTACTGCATCCAGCTTCGCATCCAGTTCTCATGACTCTTGCAAGCTCAACAAATAAGTGCCCTACAAGCTGAGCTAGAACAAGTAAGGAAATCACAAGCTGATTGGCAAGCTCAGTTGCAAGCACAGGTTCAAATGCAGATGCAGGAGCAACACAATCAGTTGTTGGATGAAATGCGCAAAATGAGGAAGCATATGAGTGGAAAAGAGGTAGCTCCAGTTGAGGAGGAGTCCACGGATTCAGAGTAGTTTAGTTTATTTTATGAACTTGTTTATTTTCTTTGAATCTGTAATACTGAACAATATCTGATGTTTTTAGTTGGTTGTTACTATTGAACAGTTTCTTTTAATGAGTATTTATGTTTTTGTGCATCTTTGCATTGCTATAAACTGTTTTGGAAATGTTATAAACTGTTGTGGATAGATATTTGTATAGGTTTGCAGGTGTGGAAATCTGATTGTTGGCTGGGAAGGCAATTTTTTTTATCAATGCTACAAATATACGGCTGATTTTACGCCGGGAATTTGCCGGAAACGATGATACAACGAACCGCATCGATCTAACTGGTGTCTTTTCGTACGCCGGAAATTACCGGCGTACGTTCCGGCGTCGTCTCCGCTGGAGATTTCCGACGCATATTTTGTGCCGTAAACATCCCTTAGGTTATTTGCGGCGTATCAACAACGTTTTATCCACCGGTAATTACCGGCGCATGCATACGACGCAAATTACCATCACATATGGCGCCGGATTCAGCGGTCGAAATGTCAACTGCTGCCATCATTTTTTGCGTTGGTAATGCATCGGAAAGTGCGCCGGAAAGGTTTCCGACGCATATCATGTTCCAGAAAGGTTTCCGACACATATTATGCACCGGAAGACTTTTATCGACGCGCTCCAAACCGGCGCAGGGAATTCCGCCGGAAAGTGCACCGGAAACCTATAATTCTGACGAAAATCTTGTATGAGCGGCAGATATTATCCGCAGGTAATGACGGGTTTTCCCGTAGTGTTCCCTCGTATAACTCTCAATGCCCACCAATAGAATAGAATGTACTTATAACATCAGGATATGTCTTATAAGCAGCAAAACATAGCTTATAACTACTAAAACATGCCTTATAGGCACTAGAATATGACTTATAACTACTAGAATATGCTTTATAGGCACCAAAATAACATTCTTTACCACACCAAATCTCTTAATAGCTTATTTCAATCTATAAGATACATAATTAATTTAATTATAGTAATTAAAGCATAATTAAACTCATTCCAAAATTTCATAAAATGTCATAACGGTTGGCAACAAAATATTATAGTGAGCAGAAATTTATTATTTCAGAAAATTATCAAATTAATAGAGATTATGCAAAACACGATTTTAGAACTTTAATTATAATTCAACAATATTTTTTAGGCAATTAAAATATCACACATTTCAAGATACTCAGATATAATTTTTTAAGGAAATTCCTAAATGTTTAGAATGGATGTCTCTACCACATACAAAATGTTACACGGTGAAATTTTTGCTAGTATATAATTATTCTTATTTTTTATAATAAAAATAAAAATTTAATTAAAAAAATCTAGAAAATATCATATTTTTGAAAGCTGAGATAGGTTAAATGTTACATACTTCGATTCAGACTACTTTCATAACTAGGTTGTCAGCTGAAAATGGATCAAAGTGGCTCAAAGCTTCCTTTCTCTTAGTAGAGTCCCTCTCTATGTTTCCCTAATATCGGTTGCCCAAAAGAAATGATCATAATTAAATTGTGGATTTCAATTTGTTAAATATTAAAATCTACTTTGGTGCCACACTCTGAAGTACAAATTTAAATTGCCAAAAATTTGAGAGCATTAATTCCGCCATGCCACCGAATACAGTGACATGGCCAATGGTGCAAATGAGTATAGTCAAGCTCGAGTTGTAGCAAACTCGAGCTAGAGAGCTCAGCTTGAGATGTAATTATGGATCTTTTCTTTATCGTTGCCAACTCAGGCAAGCATAATCTTAACAAGCGAAAGAGCATTAGAGCTTACCTCACAATCCTTAAGTCGTAAGCTCGAACAAGTTTGAATTACCATATGAGCTCTCCCCTTCACTATTGCAAGAAAATTAGGTCATCTACGCCCCATCCATCACAAATGCTCTCACCTTCTCACGCCCGTGCTTCTGTGAAAAATAACTGAGGGCATCTGAGTACTTTTTAGAATCAAGTAGCTCAATGAGTTCACTGATTGAGTTGGATTGAGCTAAAATTCGAGCTCGTTTAGTATACAAGATCAACTATAAGATGGAGCTCAAAATTGAAATTTGATAAGTTTGACTCGAAGCACGTTAGTAAGTCAAGTTTAAGCTTGCTCGACTTACTTACACCCCTAGCCGCGCCACTCAGGCCTTGTAGGGTCAAGATCATAACCAAACTTTACATTCACTTGTTCATGCACAAATCACACCATTTTATTTATGTCACCCTCTACTATCATCTCATATTAGCCCTTCCATAAACCACTATCCCCTACAACCCACTTATTATACATTTATACCCCAGCACCATAACCTCTTTACAATGGGCCTTCTACATATATGGAGCATAGATATGAGGGGCCTTTTAAAGGGTTCAAATGGACGTATACATATTGAGCCACATGGTGACACATGTGTAATCACATTTAAAATTTATTATTACACCGATAATTATATTTTATTAACATGAAATAAAATTTTTCCTATATTTTGAATCCACCTAAATATACTACATATAATATTTGAGATATCATAAGGACTAAGTCTGATGATCCTTACATCTTATGAAAAAAAATACTATAGACATTTATGGAATATGATTTCATATGTTCGATGTAATACATTAAAGTTATGCAATATGGTCTTTAAGTTAGTATTATTCTGCTATAATCATAACTAATTGTTTATTTTATAGAAAGATTTTATGTGTTTGTCTTAATATAAAGATAAAATTAAAAAAAGAAAAATAGAGAGATGAGGTTAAACTCGCATATGCGACATGTTTACCAATATTTTTAAATCAAGCAAGCGACCATTATGGATAGGTGAGAGCATCTAATTAAACTAATTTACTTATAACTTGGAGGAGACTTGATTATGTCAAAAAAAAAGAGCAAAATAAATAAAATAAGAATTTTAATTATCGGGGAATGGGCAACTCCCTTCATAAAGGCGGCTCAATTCCTCACATTAAATTACATATAATCCATTTAGTAAAATTATATTTTAAATATTTTCCTTATGTTCGTAATAAATTTTTATTTGTATTTGTAGAAAGTAGTAATTGGAAAAGACTTATTGTTTGGGAGCTTTATACACATTCATATCAACATTAAGTGGGTTGACCTCAAATCATGAAAAACTAAGTATAAATAATTTTTGAAACATTCTATATATAAAGATTATTAAATATATTTCTTATATTTAATGAGGACTATATATGACTTTGAGATGCATACAAGCAAGCTTTGCAAGTAAGTCCTCTATTGGATCAATGCCATAATCAAGCTACAATTTATGGTCCAAACAATAGGAGGAATGTAACAGGAATATTTTATGGCCTAGTCTCCCAAGCTTATAAGTTAAAAGCTCATTTCTCTACTAAAATAGGTTTTATTGGCAAGAACATTAAAGAATTATTGAGTAGAAACATGATTGTGCTAGCAAAAGAAATGAATGCGCGCATATGATTATGGCATATACTATAAGGACAATACCCATGTTTTGACAAAACTATGATGACATATACTATAAGGACCCTCATGTTTCTTAGATATATGATATATTAATTAATGACCTAATAAGATCCTGATCATATGATTTCTTACCTGAATGAATTACTTTCTTAGAAGTGCTTGGTTGCTGGTGCATGATGGCGCTACCCTCTATGTATTATAACTTCTTGATTGAGCGATGCAATGACACTAGAGGGATGTGTAGCGGTGCAAAGCTCTTTATTTGAGAGCATTGTTGTGTTATGTGGCATTATGAAAATATTTTTTTTAAAATAAATATCTAAATCCATTTTCCTTAAATCCCCTACCATCCCATTCCTCTCCTCTTTTCATCTACATTTTCCAGGTGAGAAGAAAGAATTTAGAAGGCGGAGAGTGGAGAGAGAAAATCCATTTCAACCTTTTTCATATGTCAAGATAGTCGTGAAAATTATTCATATCATTATAGTCGAGCTTAATCCTATTTCTACTTTTAGTTCTTTTTAATTTTTTTGGTTTCTCTCTCTCTCTAATATATATATATATATATATATATAGACAAACTTTCACAATATAAATTTTGATATGTTGTTAAAAATTTTCATCTTTAAGTTTTGAAATTATCATATGGAGATGTTACCAGATAGTTTTGTATATGTATGCAATTTTACTTGAAATGATAATAATAATAAAGGGAAACAAAAAATAATTTAGGATTGTTTCATATGGTCTAAAAAGACATTCATATGTTATAGTCCATTTAACATAACATACATAGCTGATAAGATGTATTTGACCTTACATACATTTTGAAATGATAATATTGATTGGACATGGCTTCTAATTGACTTATTTGCTACATAAAATTATATAAAATTAATTCTATCAGTCAATAGTCCACTAGCAATTTATCATTTATTTTGCTCTTTTGCAATAGATTGTTTTTAGCTGGTATCTCCTTTAGGAGTTCTATGAGTATTCCACCAAATTTTGTTTTTTTGAGAGAGTAAATTGTATGAATAATTATTTTTAATGGGGTTTTAGCATTAGGTAACAGTCCATAAAAAATCCATTAAAATTTTAATTTTTAATGAAAATTTGATGTTTATGGATGAACAAGTCCATAAAAAATGCTTGTTTTTTCATATAATGAGACTTCATAAAATCATTTTCATACCTCTTTCCTTTTGTACCAACCTATATACCACAAGGCTCTTTTAGACTAAAAATATATAATAAAAATAAAAGTACATGCCTAATACACAAAAACTTACTTTGAATGATTATTATAACCTTGGTTTAACATAATTTCAAGCAAATATTTAAAGCTTCATGGGCACTACAAAATAAAATATTTCTATGCTAGTATACTTAATAACAAGTAATTTTAAATTAGCCACCCCATCAATTTGTCATTCAACAAGCAAAAAAGGCATCAATCTTAGTTATATTGTAACACCAAGATGCCTATATAACATGTGCTAATCATAGCATTTAATATGTGCTAGCTAGTGATAATGGCAATCTAATCAAAGAGTGATATTCTATTTATGATTTAATTGAAGGTATATTGATGTTCATTAACAAAGGAGGGCTATTATTTAAATTATTAATGCCTTGAATTAGTTTTGTTAACAATTTTTATGATTTATGGATAGATTATGTCATAAAAAAGGTCTTATAACGTGTGACATAAAAAATTTGATGTGTTAAAGAACAAAGAGATGAGAATGATTAATCACAAAGTCTTGGAACTTGAATCTAAAGGCTAGGATATGATAAGAAAATAATGAAGTACAAGGATACAAATCTTTGCTCCTAGAGTTAAGGGAATACTAGGTAACAAGTTCAAATATGATCCATGCTCTTAGCCTCATAAGTTCAAGATATTATGAGTTTTAGAAACAATGAAGATGGATATAATGCACCTTAGGGTGGATCATGTCTTCCTAAATTCAAAAGGTTCCAACAATGTGAACATTTCACTCGGAGGTGGAGTATCACATCATTATTCCCAAGATAGGACATAATAAGTTACTAAATAAGACAAAAATCCATTAAGTTCACCTAAAGAAGTGATAAATCTATCATGTAACTAGACTAGGGTCAACTTAATCAATTAAGGCTTAGACCATGTGTAGCCTAATGGATTTGGCAAGATGGACCACGATAGGTCCATTAGGTTTCTTAATGATCGAGGAAATATAATCCATACATAAAGCTTGTTGGCCACAAGGGGTGATCCATGATTCTGGATCAACCCACTTCAAAGTTTAATTAATAATTAAGGATACTAAAAGAGAAAGCCACCATATGACCCAAAAATCAATATAAGGCTAAGTGCAAGCCACAAAATTTCTTAAGATCCACTAACCTATATCAGAGCTTGGATTTTACCTCCAAATTTGGTCCATGTGACAAGATCAGCCAACATCTTTGTCAATAAATAATTAGAGCCTTGGCATAAGGACTACACACATTGATTGCCACCAAGGATTTTAAAAAACTTGCCAAATAGGTTATTTACAATTTATAGAGAAAACCTAAAGCCTGTGTGAGAGAACTATGTCTCTTTCAACTCTAGAGAATATTTATAGATCTGAGAAAGAGAAATCTAAAAATATTTTCATAATTATTTAGAAAATTTTTAGGTTTTTAGGCTATGTATTAGTTTTCTTTTCTTATTTTTAAAAGAAATTAAATATTAAAGAAATTTTGAAAAAAAATTTTAAAATTATTTTGACACGACCCATGTGTTGAAGGTGCACCTAAAGGGAGTTGTAACGATGAACAAAAACAAGCACCCCTTAGACATTATATGCGCGGCAATTGAGCACACATGATGCAGCTTGTAGTAGGCGATAGTCGATTGATCGATCTGGTCACCTACACATATTTGGGCCCATTATTATAAATATAATTTAATTATGATATTTTTAGGGTCCCTATGACCATTTTTTGATGTTATGGTCTCTATTTAACATTCCAGAGCCTAATGGGGACTTAACAACTAATTTCAAGCATGTTAAATGAGTTTAGAGTTTTGAGCAAAATTTACTTAAACCAATGCTCATATTTCTTAGAAGTTTGAAATTATGATTGAGAATACTTGATGCTAAACCCTGCAAAGAAATCCATGCTTACATCTAAGAAGCGACTACTTTATAATTTTTCCACAATTATTATTTTACATCACAGAATTTTCAAATTATAAATGTATATTTTAATATAACATAGACTTTGACATTAGAAAAAATAAGAATGACTGATATGTCATCAAAATTGACTTTATCAGGAACAAAACTCGTTATATGTT